GGCAGACCAGAAACAACAACTAGTTACTAAAAGGCCAACAACACAGAGATTCCGGAAAATGCTCTGTGTCCGAAATTCAATTAACTTCAGCTGCATTTCACACTTTTTTGTTGTTTCTCGTGGGTATTCAGCTGCCCCTTTTAGCGGTTGTGGGCGTGGCAGGGCATTGATTATGCGCTTTGCAGATAAAGTTTTCTTTTATGTGGCCATAAACTGCTTAATTTTGACAAATTGTTGCTGTACTGGCCCTCATTAAGAAGTTTATTATAATTAGCCCATTTTGCAGTTGCTGAAGGGAAAATCTAGGGAAAAATCAGAAAAAAACTTGATATTGAGAAAAGCAAAAAAGGGTTATAATGAAGGTTACTTTTTCGGGAAAAATATTAGTTGTAAGTTACAGAGACTAAAAAGAAAATTTTTTATTGATGAAACCGCTTATATTTTAGTTAAGATTTTCAACTAAAATTACAACAGTTAACCATTTCTAATATTTCTGTTACATATTTAAATTTTTGTAGATTTTTAGTACACTTTCAATAATTTATATATCTTTATGTTTTAAAGTTTGCGGATATTATTGTCTGAAAAAAAATAAAATCTTTAGAACATAAGATTAATACTTTTTTATTTATGCTTAAACTATAAAAAAAATTTCTTATTTAATTTAAAGCATCAATATAAAAAGAAATATCCTATTTTAAGAACTTTTCATGCACTTCAGTAAATTAAACTGAAATTGTGAGTGGCAAAAAGGGGACTTCTCTTTTGGCGACCAACCTGTTTTTTTGGGCCATCTTGCATAAGACCTCCATTTCAATTGACTCCATTTGGGCCTTCCTTTGGCTCCTGGCCAAAATGTCAATTCCAATTCGCTCATCAGGTTTTTTATTTCGTGTTGGTTGTTACTGATTTCAAAATCAAACTGACAGTTTGCCATTTGTTTTTGTACAAAATACTGCGGAAATTATCATGGCAAAAAAGGGGATATAAGTAGATACAAAACGAGGAAACAGAGAGATTTCTTGGAGGGAATTGTGAGAAAAACATATAGTTTATTTTATTTTTTTATTGCCTTGCAGCAAGAGGCAATCAAGATTTACTTGGAAAAACGAAGAGGAAAATAAGGGGGGGGAAAATTGGGTGGAAAAGTGGGGCCAAAACTACACGATACACAGCCTCTCAAATGGAGGCAGACATGCATGGCGGCATTTCCGGTTGCTTGGCACCATTAGTGCAACTGCCACGCCCCCTTAAGAAACGCCTTTACGCCCTTTTTTCCTCAGTTCTTTATTTTTTTTCCTTTTTTTGGCTTTTTGCTTTCTGTTGAGATAAGCAGTTTTGCCATTTGTCCGTGCAAGTTTTTCGAAAAGCTTTCCCTTAGAAGTAAAAACTTTTTTTTTTTCCCAAAAAAAAGGGGAGGCGCGGGAGGAGGGCGGAAGTGGGAGGGGCATTTGACATGTGTTTGCTGCAGCAGCAGCCCATTTTGCGCCCTTGTGGCTAAAAAGAACTTGCCAACTTTTTCGGCGTCTCTAAGCTTCTGCCGGCCAAGAAAAGTATATTCATTATTTTGTTTTCATTTTCTGCGGCTGCCCGAGAGCGAAGTTTGCAATTGAATTTTATTGTATCTCCTTGGAATTTAGTCAAAAATAATACGGCTCTTTCAAATAGATTTTTATGTGTGCGAGTGCCAAAACAGATAAAAAAAAAAGAAAAAACAACTCGGAAAATAAAGTGGAAAATCCATTATGGGAGGCCTCTTAGTGGCTGCGGATTTTATGGTGGTCTTCTCCTATTTTATTTGCCCATCGATCGAATTAAGCTTAATGTTTGTGTATTTATTTTTATAGCCTTTACCTGGGGAGTTAGAAGATAGTTTGAGGCACCCACAATTTATTTTTTCCTTATGTGTTTCCTAAGAAAAACCCGCATCTTTTCTTCTGTGTTTGCATTATCTGCCCCAACTAAAATCGAGAAATATTACGCAAATCAGCAACCAAGCAAAACCAAATGAGACCGCAGCTAAACACACACATAGGGCAAACCAAATGAATGGAAATGGGTGAAAAGATGTGGGAGTCGACCAGGAGAATTCGAGAAATGTACCCCAAACCAAGACCTAGAAAATGCTTTTATCATTCCTCAAATGCTGCATACATTTTGGCTTTATTTTACACAGAAAAATATTTTAACTTATTATAAACAACTGTTTTTGATGCAGATAATTCTGAATAGTTTCATTTTCTACTCTGTTCTGGTAACTCTATATAAAGATCCACTTTTATAAATATTTTTACCTGATTTAATACCTTTTTTGTATTTTTTCTAGTGCACCTCCTGCTCTATTTTGTCCCCAATTTTCCCTGCCCCAGCATATGTCTGGGTTGCTCTTTGCTAATGGCCTGATGACGCGTCATCGTCGTCCCATGGGCGGCCTTTCTGTCTGAGAGTCGCTCGCAAATTATAATTGAGTGCATGGCGAGCGCATTGAACTGTGGGGCTTGTGGGTCCCATCACTCCTCGACCCCCTAACTAAATTCAAATTTAAAATCTTCAACGTATTCTGCATAAAAATACCCATTATTTGAAAAAAGAATCATAAAAATGGTCCACCTATCAGAGAAACGATATATTTATAGAAGTTCTTAACCTGAGGTTAATGACCTAATTACAACCTGCTAAACCGGGTGGTCATATTATTAAAAGTTATCAAAAAGAGCAGGTGTTTTATACAAATGTTATAATATATTTTAAAAAAATATTTTTAGCTCCAAAAATGTAAAAAACTTTTTAACCAAAGGTTAAACCTCTTGTTAAACGAAGAGACTCAAATTTTAACAATTGAATGATGGGGTAGGAGTATGGTTTGTGCTAAAAAGGGTATCAAAGATACCTTCTCGTTTTATTTCCCATATTTGTGTGCTAAAAATCTAAAGAGCCGAGGGAATTCCATGCAAACCTCCAGTTAAAGATTTGAAATCTGAATGGGGAAGCTGCTTCTGTTTCTTAGTCCTGTTTTTTTTTCTTTCTTGCCACTTGAGACTCACAGGACTCGCTGCCATTTGGGCCATAAATTTGAGCGCCACATTTTCTCCATTTTAATGAATGGTTTTTTTAATGCAATGGTTTTTGGCTCGTTAGGAAAAAGAGCGAGCGGAAACGGCGAAACAGCAACATTCTGGCTGCTTTAATTTATTGACTAATTTAGGAGGCTGGCGCGGTAAGAGACCCACTAGAAGCCAGTAATAGATACTTTTAGCCTCTGCTAAATGGGTAAACGGCTTTTGGCTTTTTAATTAGACGCTGTGTGTTCTTTTTGGCAAGGGAATTTAATTTAATTAATGCAGATTTGATGGTAAAACTCAAGGTCATTTGAGGGGGGTTTTGCTTGGCTGAGAGAAAATAACCTTATAAAGTCCCAATTAATTGGAGAGGGGGAGAAAGGCTTTCTAATGTTCGCTCCAAGCGAATGAACACATGTGTTTATGGTTGTACCCCCAAAAAAAACAGGATAACCCTTTTCAGACCCTCTTCACACCACACCCCCCTTTTGAGCCTTTTAATTTCCTGTTAAACACTTGTAGACTACACTTGAACTGCCAGGTCAGGAAAATTAGATACAGATTTTTTATGATTTACTTATATTTATTGTTAAGTTTTGAGAAAATTTAAATTTATTTAAAACGAAAATATTAAATAAAAGTGTTTATTAATTCTTTAGTTATAGTTTTAATAATAAATCAAGTAAAGTACTTTTTAATCATACTTTTAATTTAGAAAAGTTCTTGTACTCTTTTAATTTAAATTTAAATTAAATTAAATTACTATAAATATCCTATGCAAATATCCTAACTGATTTTTTTAATATTTAAAATCCCAGCACATTTTGTCATTTGAATAAATGGCCCTAAAAAGTATGCTTTCTATTTTGTTTGTATTTATTTTATTGGCTGCGTGCGAGATGTTATCTGCTTTCCACGCCATTGCTGATTTTTCCACCCCCCCCCCTGGAGTTTCCACACCCCCCCCTCCAGTGGGCACCTTTTGTCATCGTTTTCGCCTGCTGTGAGACCTTCGCGTTCTGGGCGCGATAACAGGCATCATAAATCCTTTGCTCCTTGTAAATGGCACCCCGACAGATCCCCCAGCAGCTGCCACGCCCCCCGCCTACGACCCTGGGGGGGGGGGAGGGGTGGGGTGGTTTTGAAGGAAATGGAGGTGTAGGTGCACTGATAAAAAAATGGAATAGTACATTTAAATATCCGCATATTGAATCAAAAATTTCATATTTCGTATTTAAATTTAATACAAAAAACATTGTATTAAATACGAAACATATTAAATTGCATAGTTTAATACTAAAATATTTAAATCAAAGAAGAGCATATTTAATTTAAATTTGTTTATATTTATTTTTAAAAATATTATATTTATCGTTAATATTTTCAGAATTAAAAAAATCCGTATTTAAATTAAAAATGTTTCATATTAATTTTGAGTATTCAAATTATTTTATTTTAAAGTTTTTAATATTTAAAATAAAAATGTTTGTAATAATAATAAAGAAAGTGTCAATTTGAAAGGGTTTTTCAATGTTTATATCAAATAAAAACACCACAAGAAGATATCTTTTATATTTACGTACAAATTAATTAATTAAAATGTATTTTATTTGTACTATCACATTTAAATATGTTTCATATTTAAATATTAGTTTCTGCCATGTCCGTTTTTAAGTACGATAATATTTAAAATAAATATTTTAAGCTGACTTTAACAAAAAGATTTATTTCATAAACTGTATACTCATGTCCATACATTTGTTCAGACCAAACATTATACATTTTTAAAAACAAATTTATATACATTAAAGTAAATTGACATATGTACATATGTATGTACGTATGTAAATGGGCAGAACAAAAACGAAGGCGCTAAGATAATTCTTGGCGGTTTTTTTTTGTTCTATCCTACACACATTCTTTCGCGTTTGCTTTGATCAATGACTCTTCTTCTTGATCACTAAACGACGCGTTATTGAAGAGTTGCAGCCGAAGAAGTTGGACGTGTCGGGTCTTTATAAAAGTGAAGTTGGCATACAAATATAAAATTAAACTTGATCGCGCTATCAAAAAATCATGTGAAGTTTCTTTAAATAAATAAGTGTGTATGTTGGCAGCAACATTCAATGCCAAAAAGTACATTTTTCGCGGCATGTCTTTTCTTTAAACTGTATTCGGCCATACATACATATGTATGTACATATGTACAATTGTTTCCGCTTTTTCAACACGGCACGACGCTTGCCATTTCATAATTGCAGCCAAAGAAGTAGGACGTGTCGTATCTTTTTTAAAGTGAAAATAGTCTAAAAATTAATATGTGCATATGTGTGTATAAAAGTTAAATTAAAATTATCAAAAATATTTTACTCGTACTGCGTTTTCCTAGAATACAACAAATTAGCGCGCGCCGTTACACGCATACATATACATACATACATATGCACGTAGAATGTATTAATTATTAAGTGGATTAAAATTTTCGGTTCTCAGAAACGTATGAACATACAATCAAGTGCAGCTACACACACATACATAACACACCGTGCGTTTACCGTTGCTTGGTCGCCAACAAAGTTGAGCGTGCCCTAGCGAACACACACATGTATGTACATTTTCTGCAACACATCTACCCACACACAGCGTGCGTTTACCGTTCCTGGCAAAGTCATAGGTAAGTAAAAAACGTAGAAATAAATACATTTTTAAAAGTAAGAATACGGCAAAGTAGGTTTTAAATTAAATATGTAATACATTTTTTCTATATCATTCCTCGCAGTGGCAAACAAATACATTCTCGAACCAACATACATATATGCCAAATATACAAATTCCAGAACGAAGCATATAAAACTGGATAAAATATTGGAGGTTCCTGTTGAGAATAAAACCGATACTCGGCGTAAGGATGTGAAAACTTTCGATGGAGCTGAGCTTTTGAAAGTATGGCCAAAATATGCTGACTCGCGGGCGCCGGAATTGGTAATTTATAATTTTAGTCAGACTACATTCGGATTTTGTCTTTTTATTTATTTTTTTTGTGCTCTTTTGTTGTTTTCTTTCAGGTCCAAATCTTTAACCATTCATATTTTGATTGATCTCTTTAAAACGAAATCTATAATTTTCTTTTTTATCTTACTATTTATTTCGCAGATAACTTACAAAACTAATTAGTGTTTAGCTATTAAGATAGGTAATACTCTAAGATTGTTTAAAGTACTTTCTTTCGTTTATGAATTGACAACTGTGTATGTAGCGTGTAATGCTATAGAAGTTAAAACATGCAACCATTTGCAGGCATATGAATGTGGAATAATTAAAAATGTATTAGTTCTTAAAAACATTGAAGAGTTTTCAAGCCATCCAATGCACATGTATGTATGATGTAAATGCTAAAAAATATGTTTTATACAGATCTCTGTAAAATAAATATAAGTGTAACTGTATTATTTGTACCTTCCAGCAAGCCGTAATGAAAAATAAATGTTTAAATAAAATCGAAAAAACAAAAATAAAAGTTGTGTACTAATTTTTTTTAGTGTACCAAAAATATTTGAATACTTATCATATTTAATATTATGATTGGCATATTTTGAATAAATATGTCTAGTATTGAATCTTAATACGACTTATATTGAATTTTAATATTTCGGTTATTCATTTAACTATTAAAATTTTAGAATTTAATATGGTTTCTGTTTATATTAAACACGTGTACTATTTAATTCAAATTTTAAAAATTTAAAATCAAATAGTCATAATATTAAATAGAAATATGCATTGTATTTAATTTAAATATGGCTTATATTTAACTTAAATATTTAAAATATTAAAATCTATTCCGAAAATATTTAAATTTAATATGGAAAAAAAGGTTAATATGCGCATATTGAAATTTAATAAAAACCGCAATGGATGAAAATCAAAGCGAAAAATATTTGGGTTGAATATGAAATATTTGGATTTACTACGTTTTTTTTATCAGTGTGTAGACTGAAACAGAAACAGCTTCTGTTTCGCTTTTGGCCATCGTTTGTTATTGTTTGCGGTTAGTTGGGCGCATTTCCCCCTTTTCCCTCTTTACATATATCAAACTCAGAGGCAGGTCAGCTCCCGGGTGAGTAAAAGGGGGGAGGGGGGAGGGGCGAGACCGGAGGGGGCGGGAAATACGAGTGAGGCATTTTCCTTTAGTTTTCCCCAAGTCGCGCTTGACTGCGGATTGAGGGGCTGTGGAAACTCTAGGCATTAAGCGAGCATAAGCTTCAAGATATTAAAGGTATTTTAATGCCTCTAAAGGTGGATTTTTGAGGTAGAAATAATCTTAGGATTGATATTTAAAAATTAAATATTTTAAAAACAAAAATTTAAGTTTTATTTTCCAACTAACGTTTAAAAAATGTATAATTTATGTAATTTATTTTAATTAAAATATTTTATACAGCAATATTCCTTTAAAAATATTAAAAAGTAAATATATTAGTTCCCCTTTGTTTTGTATGATCTGTTATCTAATATAGTGCTAAGACTTTGGTCCTAGGTTCTTATATCGAACTCTATATTATTATTAACTTGTTATTCCTTCAATATATCACATGTATAGTATTTACATTTTTCACTTTCTGATTTGATTTTTTATATATTGCTTGCATATATTGAAAAGCTATTGTATTTCAGTATTTGCGTCTCGCACACATTTTTCTTTGATTGAATCATTTTTCATCGCATTTCCATTAAGCATATTAAATGTGATTTATCCAATCCTCTTTTTTGTCCCCATTTTTACCTTTCCATATTTAAGATACTTTCATAACTTATCTTTCGTACTTTGGCCCTATCTACATTTTTCCTCAACTCGTCTGCATTCAATTTTGGCGATGCTTTGGCTGCCTCAAGCAGCTTAGCCGAAAAACGTGGAAAAGTGTGGGAAATGACGGTGGAAAACCAGGCACGTTGCTCATCTTTGCCGGCCACCGTTTTTCAGAGTGGTGGCGACAATTTGCCGGCCAAAAGGGATTTAAAAGTTGCCACCGTGGGGACTTTTTGAATTTATGCGGGTGGCGGGTGCAAAATCCAGGGGCGGGGAAAATTTAAGGGGGGCGGAGGGGTATTTCGTATCATGTGCAGCTTTTTGGTCCGGATGCAGTGCGAACATTTTCTCACTTTCTACGACTGACTATCTCTTTCGGTCAGCCAGCACCTTTCTCTTTCACCCTGGTGGGGAATCCATTTGCACTTCAAATCCAAAAGTCCCCCTTTATCTCCTCTTTTTTCCCCCCTTCACAGCGCTTTTCCCTGCTGCTTTCCACTTTCCAACTGACGCCTGCTGTTGTCCGTCGCGTTAATAAGCCTCCCCGACAACCACGCCTACAATTTGTGGGTCCAGCTAGTTATAAACTGGAAAAAATGTATTCATGTTTTAGAAATATTTATAAAAAGGTTATCACATATATTTTGACACTGATCTTATATGATCTACTTGATATTATCATACCATATCATATCATATTATATCAAAAGCAAAGTTGTTCTAATATTTATATAAAAATATTATAAATATTCATTTCTAAAATATAATATGATATGGAAAAATCTTTTTAAAAGAACAAATGGTTGTCCTAAAAATATATTTTTTACGTAACTTAAAACGATATAAAATATAAAAAAAAACTATAAAATATGTTAACTTTTTTTAAGGTTTATAAAGTTGTCATATATCACCTTGACCAATTTTGGGGAACTTTTCTTTATGTAGTTTCACTGGAACAGTGATATAGTAAGACGATATAAAATATCTGAACTGGTTTAAGGCTGATAAAGTTTCAATATCATCATCTTACCAATTTTAGGGAACTTTTCTCTATGTAGTTTCACTGGAACAGTGATATAGTAAGACGATATAAAATATATAAAACGTTATAAAATATCTAAAAAGGCTTAAGGCTTATAAAGTTTCCATATGTATATCTTCTTGACCAATTTTGGAGAACTTTTCTCTATGTAGTTTCACTGGAATAGTTCCCGTATCCTCTTTTATGTTCAGCTACATGCAGCTAATGCAATCTTGACAAGCGTTGTCCTGGACAACCGAAAATGAGGCTTGACACTTTTGATTTGGTTTTACTGGCCCACTCGACTATCATCCAACCCCGAACCCCTCGTGGCACTACCATTTTCCTTTTGCCATCCGAAAAACCAAAGCAGAAATTTCACCCTGTCCAACTTGACTCATGCCGCATTTTTGATTTGTCGGACCTCGGACGTTGTTTGTTGAGCCTATATGATGGGCATAAATTCGGGAGGAAAAGCGGGAAAAGAGGGAAAACCGACGGAACTGAGACAATGCCAGAAGGCGACTTTTTGATGGTCAAAAACGGGTTCTGATTTTTCAAAGGACAACACGGCAGTGGCTTGCAGAAAAAAAACATGGGATCCAGTTAAGCCGTCTGGATTTGGCTTTAAAATAGTTCCTTACTTTTGGTATCTTTATGAAGTGTCTTAAATTCTGGATGTAACTCGGGTAAAAAAAACAAAATATAAATGATTTTGACTTCAAAAAAATGTATCCTAAACGATGCTTAATTTTGAGATCGAAGTTAAAATTTTGTGAGAGTTTCTATAAGTCTTTTTGCTTCCGGTACTTAATAATTGATAAAAAATATACGTTAATTAATTTTAAAATTTTAAAATCGATATTTAAAGTTTGACCATTATTAGTTTCCTGTTTTAAAATATAAAAAATACAATCCTTTTTTGTTTCCCAAAAACTGTTAGTTTAAAAATGTCCTACATTTCGATACTTTTATCGATAACAGAATGTTAAGCAACAGAGCAGAAGTGGCAGCCTCCCAACAGCAACGCAATTGTGAGCAATGCACTAAAGCGAGAGCGACGAAAAGAGTGCGCGGCTAAAAAAACGGTTATACGGTTGACACTTTCGTTAGCTCCTATTTCTACGCTTGCTGACTCTTACGTTTTTTGAAATCAGCCCAAAAATTGCGCATACGCCTAGCTTGGATTCAAAAATTTCAAACTGAAACGCCAGAGGGCGCCTGCTGAGCAAAACAGAGCAATTGTGAGCAATCCACTAACGCGAGGGCGGCGAAAAGAGTGACACTTACGTTGCCTTACGTTTTGCCGACACTTACGTTCGCATCTTGCATCTCTCTTTTTCACTGACACTTAAGCTGAGGCTGTCTCCCTTTTTTACTGACACTTACGTTGCCTTACGTTTTGCCGACACTTACGTTTACTTACGTTTTTTGTGCTCCGAGCCGAACAAACGGTTATCGCAGTTGCATTCTCCCGCTCTTCGCAACAAGTCGTGGGTGTCGGATTAGCGGTAAATCGCATTTCCCAGTGGAAACTCGGCACGCTTGAAAGTGAAAACAAAACGCACACACGCATCGAGTAAATACAAAGTAGCCAAAAGCGGTACGAAACAAAAATCAAAATAACAGCGGGTGCGGGGGAGGGATTGGGGCGGTATTCGGAAAGGAGAAAAACTCGTGTTTATTTTTGAAACGCGAAAAGTGCAGTGTCGAAATAAGCCAAAAGCGAAGCAAACGAGAAAAACGCGCAGAGATAAATGAAATGAAAAGTTAAAAATAAATATATATGCCATGCGGCTGGGAGAAGGAGAAAGAAGAAGAAAAAGGCAGCAGCGAGGGACGTGATTTCTCTTTCTCGCCTTCGCCTGTCCGTGTGTTCCTCGCCCCCCGCTCTCTTTCGCACCCGCAGCATCCCACAAAAAAACTAAAAAAAAAAATATAAATAAAAAGCAACAAAATACAAAATTCATTCACAGCGCACATGTTTTTGTGGCCATTGCTGTGTTGTTGCCTTTGCCGCCTCCGTTTCGCCCGCTCGTTTATCCTGCCATCCTTTTTGGCCGCTCTCCCAAGATTCTGATTCGATTTTTCCCACTCATCTGGCGTTTTCGCTCTCTCATGCGGACAGCATCAGCATCTCTCGTTCTCTCTCTCTCAGCTGCTTTGTTTGTCCGCTTTTCGCGAAAATATATATAAAATTGTAATAAAATCGGTAATAAAGTCGGAAATAAACGCAACAGAAACGGAACCATATGATGAATTTCGTTTCATAAGTCAAAGCGCACGGAATACCAGGAAAAAGTGCAGACGCGCGAAAAAAGTATCTCAGGGATGCGTAGTAACGCAGACAATCAAAGGCCTTTGTGTGTGATCAAAAATCGAAAAACAGACCTCAAAGATACAGTCGATGCTGTTTAAAGTGGACTTTTTGAATACCAAACTTATTGCAAAGCAGACAGTAAACACACAGAAAGAGAATTTGTTGAAATTAAATCTCTATCCTT